GAGGCCTGCTGCTGCAGTGAAGGCCTCAGTTTCTTCCTCTGTAAAATGGGGGGTGTGCTATCAGATTGGCAAACACGACAAAACAAGAAAATGATAAATGTTGGAGAAGATGTGGGAAAATTGGAACACTAATGCATTGTTGGTGGAGTTGTGAACTGACCCAACCATTCTGGAGAGCAACTTGGAACTATGCCCAAAGGGCTATAAAAAAGTGTATACCCTTTGACCCAGCAATACCACTTCTAGGGTTGTATCCCAGAGAGATCATACAAATGGGAAAAGGATCCACATGTACAAAAATATTTCTAGCAGCTCTTTTTGTGCTGACCAAGAATTGGAAACTGAGGGGATGCCCATCAATTGGGAATGGCTGAGCAAGCTGTGGTATGTGAATGTAATGGAATACTATAGTGCTATAAGAAATGATGAGCAGGTGGATTTCAGAAAAACGTGGGAAGATGTACACGAACTGATGCTGAGTGAAGTGAGTAGAACCAGGAGAACACTGTACATGGTAACAGCCATGTTGTGCGATGACTAATATTGATAGACTTAACCCTTCTCAGCAATGCAAGGATTTAAGACAATTCCAAGAGACTCATGACGGAAAATGCTATCCACATCTAGAGAAAGAATTATGGAGTCTGAATGCAGATTGAAGCAGACTATTTTCTCTCTCTCTGTTTTTTTTTTTGGTCTTTCTCACCGTTTTTCCCTTTGGTTCTAATTCTTCTTTACAATATGACTAATGTGGAAATATGTTTAATATGATTGTACATGTATAGCCTATATCAGATTGTATGCCATCTTGGGGAGGGGGAGAAATTTAAGACTCAAAGTCGTATAAAAGTGAATGTTGAAAACTAAAAATAAATAAGTAAATATTTTTTCAAATGGGTGTGTGTGTGAATTTTTTGAGGTCCCTTCCAGCTCTAGAACTATGTGACCTTGGGCAAGTCACTTTCCTTCCTGGGCCTCAGTTTCCTCCCATGTAAAATGAGGGGCTTGGACCAGCTGGCCTCTTAGGCCCAGGTCTGGGATCCAATAACCCTGTTTAATTTTCCCAGCAGTCCTGGGAGGGAGAGAGCCTAAGGAGGCTGAGTCTCATTTTTCCAAAGTGAGAGATATGGTGATACCCTTGGGAAGAGGCAGAGTCAACACTGGAGGGCAGGTCTCCCAACTCCAGGCCCGATGGGCTTTCCTTACACCACAGCTCCCTCAAATCAGAGATTGCTGAAATAGAGCCAACTGAACTGAGTCAGGCCAAAGTGGTTCAGAAACAAGACTGGGTCTCCATTCTGCTTTTCCATCAGGGAGAAGAGAGCTGGCTGAGCATCACCCCCCACCTTGCCTCTGTCCCAGATTCCAGGAACCCACCAGTGTTGTTTACGACCCTTACATAAGTCCTGTCTCTGGCTCTAGGCTCAACAGCCTGGGCCAAGCCAAGGAAGGGCTGGATCAGGCACCTGGGTTAAGGCCCAGGGAAGGCTTCCTTTTTTGGGATGACTGCCAATTGTGCTACTTTCTGAAGAAGGTTCTCAGCTTAAGGAGGAGAGTGAGATGGCAGGGTTCACCCCTCCCATTATCCATTATCTCTACCATAGAGAAGCCTCTAACAAGACAGGACCACTACTCCTTCTGCAGCACTCATTGTGAGTGAGTACCTTCAAGTAACCAGACCAACTAGATACAGAAAGACACAGCGCTGTGCATTGGTCCCCAAACCAAAAGATGTTGCAGGCCCTAGTGGACTGCAAGCTCAGTCTGTGTCACCAGGGAGATGTGGCACATTGATTAGTTCTTAGGCTGTACTATGTGAGAATAATGGCCAGGATGAGGAAAACTATACCATGAGCCTTTGCCCTGGTCAGACCCCGCATCTAGAGGATTAAGCGAGGTTCTTGGTGCCACGGTGAAGGTCATCAAGCAAAAATGTGGTTCTTGATGGTGCTCAGAAGAATTTCCAGCACCTGTTGGATAAGCCGTAGTGGGGAGACTTGGTTAGGTTAGGGTCAGATGGGCCAGTCAATGAGGGCCCTTCTAGCTCGTATTCTGTAATTTTCAGAAGGACACTGACAAACTGAAGTGCATGAAGGGGAGGATGGTACAAGGGAAATGGAATTTGAGCTGGAGGACCCTGGTTCAAATCTGACCTCTTTCACTTGCCACCTCTGTGGCCTTGGGCAGGTCATTACTCTTCCCTGGGCCTCAGTTTATCATTTGTAAGATGAGTGAGTCAGACTGGAAGGTCCCTCTGAGCTCTGGAATCACCTGTGTGACCTTGAATAAGTTCCCTTCCCTGGGCCTCAGTTTCCTCTTCTATAAAAGGAACACTCCAGCTCTAGAATCCTACATGTGACCTTGGGCAAGTCACTTCTGTAAAATGGGGGGGGGTGGACTAGAGGGCCTCTCTAGGACTCCTTCCAGAACCAGTTCTAGGATCCAGAGTATGATAAAAGCAGGATATATCGAGGACAGAAGATGATGCCACGCCGAGCTTGGTCAAAGAACAGGGGATGTGTAGCCTGGAGTAGAGAGGTGTTAGAGGAGGAGGAGTAGCTGTAGGGCTGTCACATGACTCCAGGAGGCAGGGTGGAGACTGGGACATCAGCAAAGGGTAACAGGGAAGCAGATATGGATGCAACAGGAGGTAGAAATTCCTAATGGTTAGAGCTGGCCATCGAGGGAACTTGGGAGGTAGGAAGCTTTTCATCACCCCAGGTATTCAAATTAGAAGCTGGGTAGTCTCACTTGACTGTATCCCTAGTGCCTGGCACATATTAATTGCTTAATAAATGGATGCTTCCTGATTGGATGGAATGGTATAAATAGAGGAAAGGGTTGAAATGGCTTTTCAAGAAGATGCCTTTCAACTCAAAGATTCTGGGCATTATATTCTGGGTCTGTGCCAGAGGGGAGGGAGAGCAGAAGTGCCGATTCCTTGTGGGGGAGGCAGGGGTTTGGAAACGGAGGGGAATCTTTAAGAAGAGCCTGCTAATGAGAACTCCTGCCCTCCCAAGAGCAAAAGGGGCATCTCTGGTTTCTAAGGCCCACCAATGGTAGACACCAAAGGACCCACCACCATCATCCATGCTGCCATTTTTGCCTCTCATCTGTATGGCACTTTATGGTTAATATGATCTAGCAACAATAACCCAGTGAGGGGCACAGGGCGTGAATGCCTGTCCTCATTTTATAGATGGGAACGCAGAGGTTCAAAGAGGACACAGGACTTTCCTACAGTCACATAACTAGCGAGCGGAGGAGCTTAGGCTGCTGCTGCCCTCAGTAGAATGCCCACTCCGCTAACCCCAAAGCACTGTGGACGGTTGTGACAGCACATGTTCAAGATGCCGATGGGCTCCTTGCTTGAAGGAGATGAGGAGCCATCAGTTTTGGTTAACAATAGTCCACAGGGGCAGCTAGGTGACACTGCAGTGGACAGAGCTCTGGGCCTGGAGTCAGAAAGACCTGAGTACAACTGCGGTCTCAAACACTTTCTAGCTGTGTGATCCTAGGCAAATCATATTTGCCTCAGTTTCCTCATCTGTCAATGAGCTGGAGAAGGAAATGGCAAACCATTCCAGTATCTCTGCCAAGAAAACCCCAAATGGGGTCACGAAAAATTGGACACAACTGAAAAATAACTTAACAGCTTTTGCTGACTGTTCAGAATGGGGGCTTTTCTTCCCATCCCACCCCACTGTTGCCCTCTTCTCTGGGGTAGCCCTGCCTCTTAGAATCCTGGATTTCCTGTAAGCCTCAGGTCAAGCCCCCCTTTCCATTTCCTGATCTTCTTCCTGTCCCAACCCCTACAGCCATGAGGACCTTCCCTTCTAATGTTCTGGTCTACCTTCTCTGAAGGTATCTTGTACTGATTCCTGGCTTCCCCATCAGAATGTAAGCTCCCTGAGGACAGGCACCGTTTGATTTTTGTATCCCCAGTGCCTGGTATGTAAGCACTTAACACATCCTCCCCGTTGGCTGACTGAGAGTGAACAGGAATGAAAATACCTAGCAAGTTGGCGTGGCAGAAAGATTGATAAATTGGGGTGTGAGAAGAGCTGGGTTCAAATCTCAGACTTGCTACTATCTGGGGTGGAGCATGAGCAAACTGCTGCTGATAGAGTTAGTGTGGTGCAGTGGAGAGTGCTTCTGATTTGAAACCAGAGAACCTGGGTTTGAATCTAGGTTCTGCCACTCATTACCTGCATAAGTTTAGGCAAGTCCCTTGACCTCCAAGCATCAGTTTCCCCCTCAGTAGAATAAGAAAACCAGACCAGATGACTTCCAAGGTCCCCTAGCTCTCAATGTGTGACCTTGGACAAGTCCCTTCCCTTCCTTGGGCCCCAGTTTCCTCCTCTGTAAAAGGAGGGGACAGGACTATATAATATCTAAAGTCCCTTCTAGCTCAAGATCTAGATTCCTATGGTCTCCAAGCCGCAGTTTCCTCCTCTGTCAAAATGGGGCTACTACCCCAAATCACAGGATGATGGTGAGGAAAATGTTTGTAAACATTGCAATACTATTGCCATGGGCCCTGCTAGTGTTCTGAAGGCTGGGAATGGCCCCCTCAACAAATAGCAGGAGTTTACTGTGGTCAGAGGAAGAAGGTGGGGAACCTTCTTAGGAGCCTTCTGTCTACAGACCCTGCCAACAAACAGACTTCTTCCTTCTCAAGGTTTTGGAGAGAAATCCAAATGGAAGGGAATTGAAATCTTTTTTCAATCCTCCATTGTCTTGCATCTCAGTGATAGAGTCCCAAAGGGCAGCTGGGACCATGTGCATTTCTCTGTCAACCTCGCAGGGCTCTGCTGGCGCAACCATCAGTGCCAGGTGGAGCAGTGCTGGAGGCCCCTCCACGTCAGAGGAACTGACTTCCCAAGAGAGGCCAGCCCAGCCAAGGCCTCAGAGGCCCAGGGAATTCTGGAGCAGGAGGGCCACTTATCAGTACCAGGAGTGGAAAAGGAAGACATGGAGAAGATAAAAGCTCCTTTTACCTTCTGCTGCTCTCTTGAAGAAGACTTTGCAGCTGCCACAGGTAAGTGCCCCATAGTGACAGCCCGAAGCTTCATCGCCACAGATCAGGCAGGTCTTTTGTGGTGGAAAGTAATAGTCAATGGGCAACACATGGTCCCTGGCAGCCTCCAATCTGGAAAGGAAGGATACAAACAAGGAGACATACATCAGAAAGGGGCAAAATCAAAAAGGCCAAGACAGAATACTCCCAGGATCTCTTCGTGACATGACCACTCCTCTCTGCTCAGGGGAGTTGGTCACGAGGGAACTGGGGAATTTTCTCAAGCAAAGGGCTGGATTGGGTTTTGGAGTATTGAACAGCATTACAAGGTCAGTTGACACCTCATTTGTAAGAGTGAAAGGGAGGAGCAGTGGTTCATACACTCAAGAACATAAATTACTAGGGCAAGGACTCCTTTTCTGACAAGAAGTTCTGGGAAAACTGGAAAGCAGTTTGGCAGAAATTCTATTTAGATCATCATTTTCTACCATATACCATAATAATCTCAAAATGGATATGGAATTTGAATGTAAAAGGTAACACCATGCAATCAGGTCACAATATGTTTAGGGGGAGAATTCTTAACTAAAAAGGAATACAGAAGATCAAAAAAGATAAAAAGACAATTTTGATTACATGAAATATAATTTTTTTTTTGCACAAATAAAATGAAGACAGAACTAGAAAAGAAACAGCAGAGAGGAAAAGTATCAGAAATCACTGATGAGACCCACATACAATGGACTGATCAAATATAGGATGCTCCAAATCCTTTCCCCAATAATTGGCCAAAGGATATTAAAAAAATAAACATTTTCAAAAGAAACATACAAACGGCTACATGAAAAATGCTCCAAATCACTAATAGGAGGAGAAATGTAAACTGAAACAACTCTGAAGATTCAGCTAATTGTGACAGATAACAAAATATGGGAATGGTCCATGTTGAATTTGTTTTTAAAATATTTGCATAACTTTTTTGACATAATTGGTTTCCTTTGTATTCCTATGCATTTTAATTTATGCATTTAAAAACATGATTTTGAGAAGAGGACCACAGGCTTCACCAGACAGACTACTCTCTATGGGATCTTAGACAAAAAAACGTTGAGAACCTCTGATCTTAGTGGCTGCTATTCTGGGAACCAGAGAGGTCACATCATGGTGTTCTTTTTGGAGCACAGAATAGGATTCTTGTGCTCTAATGGTCCTTTGGCCCACGTGCCTGCACCCCAGAAGACTGAATTTAAAAGATTACAGATGCAGGGTTCTTCACTTTTTGGGCACCATGGACACCTTAAGTGAAGCCTATAGATCTCTTCTCAGTAGAACATTTTTAAATGCATAGAATAAAGCAGCATGGAAAAAGGCTATCAACTAGTGGGGTAGGGAAAGGCCTCATGCTGGAGGCAGCACGTGAGCTGAACTTTGAAGGAAACCAGGGATTCTAACAGGTGAAGTCGTGAAGAGAGAGGACATTCCAGACATGGGGGACAGCTTATGCAAAGGCCTGGAGATGGGAGTTGGAATGTCATGTGTAGAATATGTGAAGTGCACTAATGTATGGATGTGTGATAAGGCTAGAAAGGCAAACTGGAGTCAGGCCGGAAAGGGATTTAAATGTTTGAGACGGGAGTTTGTGCTTGTAGTAAGGAATCACTGATGCATCTTGGTAGGTATCTTATGTATTTCCTAGTTCGAATTAGACAACTCATTGTCTGATTATTAAAATCTAGTGAGGCATAAAACAAGGAGACGTACCTCTAGGACTTGGTTAGTGAATAATTAATCCTGTGAAGTGGTCACACGTATTTCAGTTCACACTATTTGATATCGTCATGATGTAAAATAGGGTAACTGGTTTCAGCTCAGTGGAACTATGCAGTGTGAATTTGAATAATGGGCTCACTTTAGGGGATTGATTATTTGCATGAATGAGGTCTTGGCTGTATACTCAGCAATAACAACAATAAAAAAAACACTTTCCCCCTATAATGGAGGGGTGAAAGGCAAAAAGCTCATAAGGGGGAATGACCCCCTATGGATGGCTGGATCTTTAAGATGCTCCTGCCCGTGGATGACATTTTGCCCATTATGTTCAGGCAACTATTCACACAGAAAAACCAAGTGGATGAAGAATGCCTATTGTCTAGACTAAGATAAGTACTTGTGTGGACAACACGTAGAGTCTGTCATCAATAATAATAATAACACTAATACACTTATGTAACACTTTAAGAATTTTCAAAGCATCTTACATATACATATATTATCTTTTTTTAATCTTCAAAAATGACTATGAGGTAGGTACTATTCTTATTTTAATTTTACAGATGAGGAAACTAAGACTTGGAGAGGTTAAATGATCTGGCCAGAGTCACAGAGCTAGATGATTTCTGAGGAAAGATTTGAAGCCAAGACTTCCTGACTCCAAGTCCAATATTGTGACTGCTATGATGTATTTCCATCTATCTGGGATGAACAATACCAGTAGGCCCAGACTTGGCTAGGGGGAGGAAATGAGAATACTGAATCGGAGGCTCATCCGATGGACCATGAAGTAGCATATGGTGGGCATGAGCAGGCTATAATACATGACAAAGAACGACATCAGAGAAGTGGTGGTGGCCATGATGTCATTAGAGAAAGAGATGACTGGAAAAAGATATGGGGAGGGGGGTGGTGTTACATAGAGAAGAGTGAAAAACAACTTATGGATAGCCAGAGCGCTCCCTTGGTATCTATTCAATGTCAAAGGAAGATGAAGAAGGCCTAATTTAGCACCTTGGGCAGGTCTCCTGTGGCAAACTTATGGGAGAACATGGATGAGAGACAGTTGCACAGGATGGACAGAAGTGGATGGGTCACAACTTGCATCTGAGTTGATGAGATCACTAGTTCATTGAAATACTAGAGTTTCATTGAAATACTAGGGTACCAGAAGATCAGACTGAATCACTAATATAAGGAGACAGGGGAAAGGCCATCACAGCCAGAGCCTGAAACATAAGCCTGTCGGGTTGTTTACTCTGAAGATGTGGCCCACGTGTGGGCTCCAGCAGTTGGGGCGAGCCCTCTGCTGCTGTTATATCAGAAGATGCTACTTGCATGGAAGTATTTTCAATCTTCTCTATTTGCTGCAAATTTAACGACTACAAATGTGGCAAATTTCATGCCATTTGGAAGCTGTAAGGTAAGGGAGTTATGCCAAAAACAACTTGAGCTGCCATCTTGCCAACCACAGGAACCAAAAGTATTAATTCCCTCCAGTTATATTTGAAAGCGTGGTGGCATGGAGTAGTAATGTGAGAACTGGTTCAGGAGTCAGGAAGACCTGAGTTCAAATGTGACCTAGAATCAGGAAGGCCTGAGTTAAAATCCAGCTTCAGACACTTACTAGCTATGTGGCCCTGGGCAAGTCACTTAACCACTGGGTGCCTCAGTTTACTCATCTGTAAAATGGAGATTATAATAGCACCTACCTCCCAGGGTTGCTGTGGAGATCAAATGTGGAAAGCAGTTGGTATAGCACCTGGTACATAATAAGTGCTGTATAAATGCTAGCTATTATTATTGTTGTTGTTATTATCATGGCACTGTCCCAGGAAGATCCCAAAGACTGAGTTGCAGAGAAGGTGCTAACCTTATAGTGGGAGGGAGAGTTGCTGCATTTAGGATAATTACTGGCTGGGTGACTCTGAGCAAGTCATCTCAGTTTTCTCATCTACAAAATGGGGATAATAATAGCCCTCCCCCTCATAGGGTTATTGTGAGAAATACACACACACACACACACACACACACACACACACAACACACACAGAGTATGTTGTAAGCCTGACGATGTGAAAAAAGACTTCCTTATACATGCCCCAAGGAATTCAGTGACAAGAAGAAAGGCTCAAAAAGCTTCCAAATATTTTTAACAGCACTTTCTGTGGTTACAAAGATCAAAGTAGATACCCATCAACTGGAGAACAGCTAAATAATTGTGGTCCATGAAGGTAAATGGAACATTACTGTGATACAAGAAATGACAAAATGTGAAGGATCTGGAGATGAGCTGCTGTGGAATCAAGTGATCCAGACAGGAACTTGGTGACATAAACAATGACAACCAGTGTGGAAATGAAAACAATAACAGAATGTTATAAAATAATAATGGCCGTTCTTGGCCCCAAGCAAGATCTAGGAAAAGACACCTGTCTTGTTATTTTTTTCCAGACTCTGAGTGTGGAGAACTGCATAGAAAGTTCGATTTTTTCGATATGGTGGTTAGTTTTACTGAACTGCTTCCCCCTCCCCTTCCCTTTTTCAAATTCCTATAATGACGGATGGCTCTCTTCAAGGAAGAGGTGAATGAGATACAATAGAAAATGTAGGTGAGAGAAAAACCAAAATATATCAATAACAACATTTTAAAATAAAGCTTCCTGACCAAAACTGGCTTCCACCTGGCTCTCTTCCATTTTCCTGTGTTGCCTGGCAGGGATAGAGCATAGTCCTCAAAGTCAAAATGACTCTGAGTGAATGTATGATCTGGAACTCAACTTTTAGCTCTAAAACCCCCAAATGCTTCCTCCCAGGTTCTCTCTCCAACCAGATTGTTTAAGCACTCTCTTCTCTCACATACCTCAAAGTTGGCACCCTGAGCAAGCCATCTGACTGCTCCCAGGCCCATGCTTCTCTATCTATGACCTTCCTGGGAGGTATCTCAGTAACAATTAGGGTTGTACTGTCCCCAAGAGGAATGGACCAAATATCTTCCTAGGTCTTCCTGAACCCAAATTCTTAAAAAATTTTCAACTAAATGGTTTGCTCACATGTACAATGAGAGAGTTGGGCAAGACTCAAGAAACGAACATTTATAAAGTGCCCACTATTTATGTACCAGACACAATGACACACACACAAAAAGGGAGACAGTTCCTTTCCTCAACGAGTATGTGTTCCATTGGGAAAGATATAATATGTGCACAGAAAAGTAAATAGCAGTTATATATGAAATAAAGACAGAGTGATGGGGAATGGGGCAAAGTACCAACCAAGAAAGGCCTAGTGAAGGAGGTGGGACTAAAGCCAAGCCTTGAAGGGACCTGGGGGTTCTCAGAAGTGGCCATGAGGAAGGAGAG